GCAGGGTATCTGAAAGTCTATACAGAATATTTAAAAAAATATTTTCTACAAAAAAAAAAAGGTTTTTTGCAATGGAAAAAAAATACAGAATATTAGGTTAAGTGAGAAAGCAGTTTTATATCTTGTTCTGATTTAGTATTTGTATCAGATAAAAGCATATGTTAATGGGTTACACTCAATGTGGTGACCTTTATTCTTGACCATTGCTTTTTATAAGTTTTTTGTGATGAAATTTCCATTATCAGTACTTGTGAGACCCTTATGGTAGGATTTTTTTCCTGGAACCTTTCTTATATAGAGATTTTCAACTTCTGCCCCTTACTTTTCTTTAGGAAAAAACACTATAGGAAGCGAGTTAATTTCAGTCACATTGGAAGTTGTTTTATTTTTAATAAAACTAACTTTTCAGCTAGTGTCTTAGTCTTTACCCTTAAAGTAAGGCAGAAATATCCCAGTAGAAGGATAAATTCTTCACAAACATCTGCCTGATGCAGGCATATCTCTAAGACAATGAGAGGTCAGGAAAAGTGCTTTCTTACCCTTTCCCTTATATTGCAATCTAATCATGACTCAGATTTCACCCTTTACTTATGTCTCTTAAGGATATTCTTTTCCTAGCTAGTCTTAACCTTGAGAAAGTTTTAGAGAAGGCTACTGTCTACTAAAGTTTGGGGTATATCTTGAGAACTGTCTTTAAGTAGTTTTTTAAGATCTTTTGAATCTTTTATCAGTGAATTGGGTCCATTCTTTCACAGTAAATATGCTGAAAGGATCAAGAGACATTAGCTGTAATTCATGCAACAATTATATTGGTTATGGGAAATTAAAAAACTCTAAGAATCTCCAGGGAAGAAAAATACATTTTTGAAAGACTACGAAGGAATATTTAGAAGATGCCTCAGGTTTTATATTTGGTTTTAAAGAAATCTTACCTGTTTTGAAAGTTGTACAATATGAAATATACTTTAAAAGTTTACTGGTGTTTAAAAAACAGTTTTTAGTATCTTGAGTATGTGTTTACTTTTTGAGGAAGATTGCTATGGATAAACAAAAGTGAATTCTGGTTTATGTAAGCATTTGTAGTAGTACTGTTTGAATTCTTTATTAAATTTCCTAGTAATACAGAAAATAATGACTGCTGCAGCCCAAAGTAAGATGCTCTGGTGACTTAGAGGGAAGGAGTTGTGCTGCAAACCCAAAAGCAGATGGTTCTAATCCGTCAGCTGCGCAGTGTGAAAAATACGAGAGTCTCCTCCCATGTGATTTATAGCCTCTGAAACCCACTTGAAGGTCAGTTATGAATCATTCAGACTCAGTGGCACATAGCAGCAGCAGCAGCCCAAAGTGTGACATAATTTTTGCTAAAAGAAAGCAAATAGGAAGTTCCTAGGACCTTACAAGCAAGTATAAAAGGAAGTGAGGGAAATAGAGAATGCTAACAATGAATTTTAGAATTTGATCTTAAATTGATAAGACATCTTGATGAATATCTTTATGTTGACATAACCTGGTACTTAAACATAGGAATAGTCACAAAATATTTCTTGCCTGCTTCTAGAGGGAAAGGCATCTGACCACACAGAT